GGCGACAGGGTCTCACGGGAGTGCTGCTGCTGCTGGCGCTGGTCACCGCTAGCGCCTCCCCGCTGCCCACCACCGCCCCCGCCACCCCCGCCGCCGCCACCTCCACCCCCACTCCCGCTGCCTCCGCCGCCTCCACCTCCACCGCCGCGACCAAAGCCCCCACCCGAGCCACCACTCCCACCTCCACCTCCACCCCCACCCCCTCCGCCACCTCCACCGCCACCACCGCCACCCCCGCCGCCCCCTCCACCCCCCTTGCCCCCCTTGCCCTTGCTGGTGCGGCGCCTCCCACTAGGAGCAGACGCAGCGCCGACCGACTCCGTGCCAACGAGGTCGACAGCAGCAGCAGAGGCAACAGAGGGCAAGAGGGGAGAGGGGGAGCACCCCTCAAAGAAAGGGGCGCGAGGGTCACCACGAGAGGCCCCTACAGCGACTATACTCTTCTCAGCTGCAAGGAGGCGCTCCTTGAGGAGGTCAACGGTGAGCGTGGTGGGGCAGAGGGAGAGGAAGTGGTCCCTGACCGAGCAAACGGAGTCAGGGAGCCGGGTGACGAGGTAGTAGAGAGTGATGTACATAGGGGGGGGGTTCTTGGCGCAGAACTCGGCAGGAAGCGCAGCGCGGTAGCGGGTGTCACTAGTGCGGAGGTGCGTGATGAGGTCAGCAACTGTGGCAAAAGCGGCTAGGTCAGGGAACAGGTACGGCAGCATGAGGCGACTAAGGGCAGCAGTGGCAAGGGAGGAGTAGCGCGCAACAACAGCGTCGTACAGAGTCCTAGCGGTCTTGTACTGACTAAAGTGCGCGCGCTCAGCAGACGGCAGGTGACTACGAATAGCAAGGCGGGCAGCAGCATCGCGAGTGGTCCACTGTGAGCGAACAGCAGTGGCAGCAGGTGCAGCAGAGGCGCCAGACGTGAGATCAAAAAGCGAGACCTGATCTTTGCTATCGCACTGCAGGAACAGCTGTAGATCATCGACCCAGACCTCAAAATCTACTGCCCTACCCTCAGCATCGAATTTGAGTACGTTGGGGGCAGCCATGACAGCAGTAGCAGGAGCAGTAAGAGCAGCAGGAGCAGCAGTAGCGGCGCGACTCGATAGGGCGGCGCGGCTAGGCAGGTCGGCTCGGCTAGGCAGGGCGGCGCGGTTCGGCGGTGCGCTTACCAGGGGCGGGTGGGTAGGGAGGCCGCTACTGGTGGGGCAGGGCCGTGGTGCGCCGGCAGGGTTGGGGCCGCAACTGGGCGGCAGGTCAGGGCCGCGGCTCGGCTGCAGGGCAGGGCCGGGGCAGAAGCGACGGCAGCGGCGGCGGCGGCTCGTCACACCGGCGGAGGCAGGCTCGGTGGCGGCGGCAGGGACAGCAGCTGCTGCATGGCTCCTCGGCGGCTGCTGCAGGTGGAGGCCGCGACTGGCGAGAGGGGCAGGGCGGGGCCACAGTGGCGGGTCACCGAGCAGAGCAGAGGAGGGCCGCGCCGAAGGCAGGGCAGGCCGCGACAGGTGACGGGGCGGGGCCGCGAAGGGCCGTGAGGCGGGCCTCGAAGTTCCGCGAAGGGGGCCGCGAAGGGCCGTGAGGGGGGCCGCGACGGGCCGCTAAGGGGTCGCGAAGGGCCGTGAGGGGGCCGCTAAGGGCCGTGAAGGGGCCGCGAAGGGCCGTGAGGGGGCCGCGAAGGGGGCCGCGAAGGGCCGCGAAGGGGCCGCGAAGGGCTGAAAGAGGGGCCGCGAAGGGCCGAGAAGGGGCCGCGAAGGGGCCTTAAGGGGCGCGACGGGCCGCTAAGGGCAGGGGACGCGACGGGAGGGCAGGCGCACGGGGCGCAGCTAGGGCAGGCGCGAAGCGCGCTCCAGGCAAGTAAGGAAAAAAAAATTCGTAGTAGTGGTGGGCCCTAGAAAACGTTCCCACTAGGGAACTCGCTCTATACCATGTGAAAGAATTATGAGGAATGATTGACTAGGAAATGAGTTGGGTACAAATATGTAACCCTAGGAAACTGTACCCCATACTGTCTACCCCACTACAGCCTAGAAAGACTATAGCATGAATGTTTGACAGTGTCAATCAGCTTTGACCATTTAATGTTGCCTTGTTGAGTTGCCCTGAGCATCCTTCCCTTGTGAAGGACCTTATGTGTTTATGGTTCATTTAGTAGAACATTGTATTGTTAGTGTTTAAATCTGTAGCTATCATGTAAGGGCGAGCATTCGTCTCACACGTGTACTCCTTACGACCCGCGTTACGTGTCTGTCATAATCGGCCTGCTAGGACAGCCAACATGTCTCAGCATTGTTGATTGCAAGTGATGAAAGGGGGCTCCTGTGTCCTCAGCAAGGACTGCTCTACTGCTCCGTTGGCCCGCTGTGAATGTGGAAGGGCCGTGTTTCCATGCCTTTACCGTGGATGCTGGGCCGTCCACTGCATTTGCCGCTGGTCTTGGCACACCATCAACTTCTCAACTGTCTTGGGTTAGTTCTGATTGATTTAGAGGATGTGGAAAGTTGGCACCATGATGACCTGCCAGAATGGCTTCCAGTTCCATCATTTATTTGAAGAGAATCGCTTGGACAACCCTTTAGCAAAAACAAGGATGTGAAACTCCCTTTCCCGAGGTACCGTCACATGAAGCGTGCGTGACACTGATACAGAGTGCCGAGGAAGTTCCGTAGCTTAAGAGTGCATGAGCCAGCGCATTATGCCAAAGGAGGGTAAGACCTGTCCTACGCGCCTACAAGAGTGGGTGAAGGACGAGGCTGAGTTGCGGATGACACATCCGACATGCAAGAGGCTTCACGGCATAGGCTGCAAGACCTATTACTTGATACGCAAGAGGAGGTGTACAACAATGTGCTCTCCTAGCACAAAACAGGTCTTCTGCTCTCGGTGAAACAACTTTAAAAGTGGAGCATGGACATCATGAACAAGAAGTGGTCGCACGTTCTCTGGGAGACGCGTCACCGCTGGATTGAGCGCATGCGCAGGCAGGACGTGACCAGTCTGCAAATGCATGGAGCATAGAGGCCGTGAGGGTTATGGTTTTGAGCGATGCGAACCTGTTTGTATCGCGTGAGGCAAGTGTCATTGGTATCACTCAGTGCATGCCGAGTTTGCCACATTTTCCACTTTTTGCCCTTTTCCATATCTTTTTTTATCGCCAGCTCTATCTGCGGCTACCAATCATGTTCTTGCCTTGCAGATGTTGACGTTGTTGCTGTCGCTGCTGCTGTCGGTGCCGTTGCTGCGATTGCCAACTGGTTCGCGAGAAGATTCCCAGGTCGAAGAAGTGCCTCCCGAATCTGCTCTTGTTCGGCACAAAGGATCGCGAGTTCCTTCACAAGTTTGTCCCTAAGCCCTCCATGCCTGTTCCGTTAACCATTCAAAGGGAAGTTAAAAATCAACGCAAAACTGGTTTCCGTACCCAATCGGCATTGCCTTCGTCGCCCCCGCAATGACTTTTGAAGGGTGAGTTTTAGCGAGCTGTCAAAATATCCAGTATCTCTTGCCTCCTCCCTCCTTTTTCTGTGGCTCATGCTCCCATGTTGTTTCTCCCCATGTTCGTCTTGTTGCTCAGGATCCGTCACTTTGAGAATTTACGACGAACCCATTTATTAACTAAGCGCAAATCCGCTAGAAGGATTGCGCGTCTCAGGCTTAGCTACCATCTTCATTTGAATACACTTAAAAAGATGGTCTATAGAGTGAGAAACGTCCAGCAGCTGCATAATAGAGGAAGTACAAGCATTAAGGCGTAGAACGTTGGAGTTGGGGATTCCAAGAGAACCATGAGAGGGAAGGGTTTCTCCAAGAGCTAGGGAAGGATGGTAGGAACCTTCTTAGCAGCAAGGATGCAGCCCTCATCATGAGGTCCTTGAAGGGTCACATGCAAAATCCAATCTAGTTGGATTTTTCCTAGGTGTTGCAACATTTGCAACCCATGCTAGAAACTTCTAGCCACCCCAATCCAAAATAGGCTTGCGCATTGAGCCGACCCGACCCATTTAGGCCTACCCGAAGGTGTAGTCGAGTCGGGTCGGGTATATCCGACCTCGGATATTCAGGGTCAGCATGTAACCCGACCCGCTCAGTAACCCTCGAGTATTTAGAATCTCGGGTCAAGGGTACCCGAGGTCGGGTCGAGTATACCCATTAACGGGTATAATCTGTCATTATGTATGCGTTTTTCCTAACCTGTTTTTGGCATTACATTTGTATACTGAGCATAGTTTTGTGAGTTGATGGCATTGTGATAAGTTTCTTTGCAAACCAGTGCTCACGCACAAATACACCATCACAACGTGGGTTTACGAGATATGCACGGTACTAACTCAGTCACATCCCTTCAGTGTATGAACTAACTAACAATAGATATGTAATAGTTCATGCACCTTCTAAGTGGTGCAATAGATTCACTACAGTCACAACAACCACACGCCCACAGTCACAACAACCGCGTGCCCACGGTCACAACCAGCCACAAGTCAGAACCTATCACCCTCACCCTCATAACAAAGCTCGTCGAGCAAACGGGCGGCCCCTGCAACATTGAGGCTCCTGCCGCTAGTGTTCTACACCATCCATGACTTGATTGCCATGACGGCGCGAACACGGCCAGCGGTGAGGCGGTGGCGCTGCCATGTAATAACGTTCCTCCCCTGACTAAAGGCTCGCTCGCTAGCAGCAGAAGTGGCGGGCACAGCCAAATAGGCTCGAGCCATCTCCCTCAAAGCGTCGAAATCCTCCCTCGCCTGCCAGAATGCCAACGGGTAACCACCTTTCTGCCTGGGCTAAGCTAAATAGCAGTCCACCTCATCCTGCCCCCCCCTCCCCCCCCCCCCCCCCCCCCCCCCCCCACCTCCAGAGCTTTCATATTGTCAAAGATGGAGTGCGCAAAGCCCCCTCCCCCACCTCCAGCAGCACCCGTCGCGCCCAAGGTCCCACCAGTAACGCCGCTGAGCCCAATGCTTCCCCGCCAACTCACTCGTGACCTTTCCACCCTGCCGGCGGCTGCTCACTCGCGCCTAGTACTTGGCCAAACGCACACACACCAGCCGTATCACTGTTTCCTCATCTACATCTTGCACCCTCCTAGCACACCCCCCCACCTTTGTGACGTGCGCAGCATTGCGCGCCTCCCACTTCGGCAGGTGGAAGAAGACGGTCTTGTAGTGGGGGTCCAGGAAGGTGGCAATCACCAACTCTTCCTTCTCCCGGTACTTGTACTTCTTCAGCTTGGCGAGGGTTGCAGAGTCGAGAGCCTGTTGGAGGGGAGTGACGCCCTCCTTGCGAGAGGAGATCTCCAGCTTGTCGAGCAACTGGTTGTACAACGGCACGACTGAAGCAGCCGTGGAGTACAAGGAACCCTCGGCTGCCTTCGTGATGGTGTTGAATGGCTCAAGGAACTCCTTGAGCTCGACGAGAGCCTCCCAATGCACGTCGGTCAGCCGAAGGCCATCCAGCTGTTCGCGTAGCTAGGTGGGGGAGGGGGGGGCTGGTGGATGGAAGAAGAGTACAGTACAGTATGAATATTCTAGGGTGGGTTTAAACAATCACAACACAATACATTATCCAACATTCCAGCCCCCAAGCAGAACCCTTGACCACATTTACAACAGACACACCACCACCAACCCAGCCCCCGAACACCAACACCACCAATATGCACGTCCGTCCTCATGAGGAATAGGGCCAGAGCCTGCTGCAGCTCCAACACTCGGGCAATCATGTCATACGTGGACCCCCACCGCGTCGGCGAATCACCGATCAGACAAAGCACGAGTGCATCATCCCGCCGCAACAATATGCGCAGCTGCTGGGCAAAGTGCTCCGAACGCTGAACCGACCACCCGACTAACGAACACACCGCTCGAAGATGCTTCAGCGCCTCTGCCACCTCATCCACCTTCAATCCCGCCTGCACTGCAATGTTCATGACATGTGCAATGCAGTTGTGCAAGCATGGCACAAACGCATAGGGGAGAGGATGTTGAAATGAACATGGTTGTAGGCGAAGGGTGGCCCATGGTACGGCGGCAATGCAGGGACAAATCAGAGACATCAGAGTTACGTGTCGATTGACTTACCGTACGTGCCGATCTCCGTCGAACAGAGGAGACGCCATCCTCGACTCAGCGCCCTCCGCTGGGTCCCCTGCAAGCATGCGCATGGCCTTGTTGTTCTCTGCATTATCCGTAGTGACAGCGAACAACATCTCAGTCAGTCCCCACTCCACCAGAATGCCCTCAAGGGTCTTCGCTATCAGCAAAGCGGTGTGCGAGCCCTCCAACTGCACAAAATCCAGGATGTGTTGCCGCAGCTGGAAGTCACTCGCACTATGACGATCATAAAAGTAAGGTGGTTCTCACTAGTCCAGATATCTGTACTCAGCGACAGCCGCCCAACGAGACCATCACCAATCAGCTCCTGCTTCAACTCTGCTCTGGCGGCATCTGTGTATGCCTGCATGTCATGTGCCAATCGATAACGCGTCCCTAGCAACCCTCGGCCCCGAGGTTCAGCAGTTTGACAAATCGACGAAACTGTTGTGGGATGGAATGGACTACGACCACAACAACCCACCCTGAACAATGAATGACACGCATAACAAGGATGGGAATTGAGTATAGAGCAACGTATATCATGAGAAATGGATAAGCTATATGCATATAATGACAATGACACTCACAATGCGATAATAGAGCCGAACTAGGACTCACAGATGGCCGATCGGCAAGGCGGAATGGCAGATCGCCGTCGGTGAACAACTCCACCAGGGCAAAGCGCAGCTCCTGCTCCTGCACCCTAGGGGTGATGTACACGGACAAGCTGGCTGCACAACTCCCACCACTCGTGCGCCCTCCCACCCCCTCCGCAGTTCCACCTATAGTTGTGGCTGGGATTTTCGGCCAGCTTGCCGCGTGTTCCCATGCTCCATCCCCGTCAGGCACAACTGGGCCCTTCCCATCCATCCCGTAACCTACAAGAGAAAACTGCAGATTCGTTGGCTTCGCCGGATCCAAGAACTGACGAACCCAAATCTGCACGTTAGGGTAATGGTTGCCCTTCATGTGCCTCCACCCAGTGCTCGTGTTACCTGACCCCCAAACAAGCAAGTGCTTACATTTCCGACACGCACCTCCCTCTGTCTGTAGGCCGGAGGCTGGAGGTGGAGTGGGAGTAGTGCCAGGAGAGCCGTTAGAGGAGCTTCTCTCCTTCTGCGTTGCCATGCTTTCTGATGTTGTAGGGAACTTGAATGTAGTTGAATTTGCCTTAACAACTCTCATACCATGTTGGGCTGAGATAAGCCCTTGGGATCTTTTCAAGGCTAAACTCTGAGTAGAAGTGTTGTATTTGCAGAAGCGTTTAGTAACAAGTGTTGGACCACCTTGCGCTAGTGTGTGAGGGCAAGATAGATTGATTAAAGCAAGAAGATATAAGGCTTTATAAGAGTACAAAGAATATGAAAGGATACAACTAATAACCGTTTTACTGTTGCTGTTGCGGTTCGATATAGTGACGACTCGGGAAACTGCTCAATAGTGAGTCAGTTGTTTGTCCTTGCTGTCACGCTGTATTTGTCAAGTCAAGGGTTGCTAACCTTTGACCTTCGCATATCCTCCAGCAGTTACTTCTCTTGTCAACCTCCGATGGTTGACTCGCCGTTGTTCCTCTGTAGTTTGCCTCGTTTGTACTTCGGTGTTATGACACATAAGAAGCGTTTAATTAATTGTTTCCAACAGTCTATCTTCCGGTGCAACACTCTAGCACTGCGAACCTTCCTGAGGTGATCCTAGGCATGATCCTGTTCTGATCGCAACATGGGTATGAGAGCGACTCGGAATCCTTCGCATTGCCACCTCTGAAAACTTCGGTAAACTAAGGTGGCGTTCGGCACACGCTCACGCGTAAGGATGGCCAGAGGATCTGGAGGCCAAACAAACCTGACTGCTGAAGCGCAGTCCAATCCGGCTGCGGCAACCGAGGAGACGACGACGATCGGCAACGCCGCCCTCTCACAACTACTTCAGCGACTTTCAACTTTGGAGCAAGGACTCCAGACATTGCGGAATGGCGACGCGGGAACATCTTCCCAACTCTCTCAACCGGCCGCGAACGGCCGCTTTACTGCCCCGCACACCTTCTCCCTCAACACAAATGGCTCAACTCCCAAGACTCCCCGTCCCAGCGATGAAACAATTCTCTCAGCTATATCAAGGTTTTTGAGCATATAAATGAATATATAAAAACAAGTGCTTCCTTTGACGGCACATACTTTTTTTTCGTGGGGCTTCAAACTGGAGTTGCTGCTGCAAAGCGCGCAGATATTTCATTATTTTGACGTGAGCTACGCATGACCCATAAAAGACACCGTTGACGCCATAACACAATGTTACAGCGAATCGCTGATGGCGTATGGTGTTTTACTGCGCAACATGTCGCCGGCGGAGCAGCTAGGAACCCATCCATACAAAACGACCTCTTCTCCAGCACTTGACGCCTCGCGACACCTCAACGGTGTGTACCAACTGAAGGATTTGGTTTCATCGAGCCGCCTACTCCAGCAGCTACTAGAGACAAAATTGGCACCAGGGGAGAAGGCCAACAGCTACATCAATTGTTGCCGGAGCTTACGCTATCAAATCGCGAAGAAATGTTCGTGAACATCGTGCTCGCAGGACTCGGCCAAGAATGGCGACCCTGCAAGGCGCTACTCCTTCAACAGGGCGCCCTATGTGCCGCCTTCTCGTCGAACAAAGAGACATAGATCAGCAGCGACCAGCACTGCGACGAGACCGGGAATGTCTCGCCTTCTACACCGACAACACAGAATAGCGACGACCGCGTTGCCTCTACTGCAAAATCTGCAAAAACTTTGTGCACACCGCAAAATCATGAAAATTCCGCTCTCGCCCCCACCAGACCAATCCAAGTACTTGGTCCGGCCGAAATGACGCACAGCATGACACGCATCAAGCCCAGGGCCATCAGCCCCCTACGCGCAACGTGTACACAGACGTTTAGCACCAGCAATAGTAGACGTCGCAACCTGTATAAGAGCGTATCTCGCCGTCGCCGCGTGCATACGCCGTCACTCGAGCTAGCACGCCATCCGATTGGGGCATTCACAAACAACAAGCCGTTCACCCCCCAACACACTTCAGTGACGATGACGACCAGGATTGGACTCTCCCAATCCCGCTGCTTTTGCATTCCCCGCATGCACCTGATCCGCGGATGGCACCTATTGATTGGATCTCGCGCGAAAAGTTCCTGAAGTTCGACACTCCGCACATCGTTACGTCGTGATTAGCGCTACTCGCGCGCGACGACAACAAAAGGTACAACACCTAGCACCTCGATAGCTGCTGCGGGTGGCATATGGTTGGATCCGAGCATTTCGTCTCTAACACCGTCCCAACCCCCATGGCCACACACATCACAGTGACGGACAACACTCGCTTGCGCGCAAGCGCGCAAGGCATCGTCGTGCTCAAAGCACATGGAAGCAGGACGCACATCACACTGAATGACATGCTGATCGTGCAACATCTCCACTTCAACCTCCTTTCGACGGCTCAACTCATGGACTGCGGAGTTGGGCTCACCACGGACCTTCGAACGCGTGACATCCTCCTATACTACACGGCGCCAAACAAGCCGCGCAGGCGGATCGGACGAGCACAATCCGAGGACGGCGTGTACATCCTCGTCTTTGATACTCCCGACTGCAGCGGCGACACGAATCAGTTGATCGACCTCATCCCACTCCGTTTCGAAAAATCCACCGCTCTGAGTGGAAGCATCCTGATAGGAGGTCATGGGTGCCGAATCACCCACATCCACGCGAAGTCGCGCTTCACAACCCTGGCTGCAGCTGCAGAGACTGCCATACGCCAACTGCGTCGACAAGCGCCATCACAGGACGAGGTCTCGCAGCAACCGCCGAAGCTAAACGGAGCGTGCTACCTGAAAAAGGCATGTCTTCCCTGAAGCTCTAAACCGTGACGCAATCCGTCTTCGGCCCACCAAATCAACCACCAGAACAACCCCTTCCGGGCACACCAGCAGAGCGGCTCCAAAGGATTTTAACACGGACGGTACCAGGGAACCTTTGATGCGCGTGGAGTGGCGCGCCCCTACACGAAGGAGGAATTCCTGAAGGTTTACCCCCACTAGCGTGACCCCACGAAGAAACTCACCATTGCGCAAGAAGAGAAGTTGGCGCGCCGCGAAGTAGAGGAGATTCGCCAGAAGAGCATCGCTGAGGCACGCGGGACATTCGCATGCAGCGCATGGGACGCAGAAGAGGAGAGCGCCTCCAATGAAGGGGGGTGGGGCAACAAAACGGATGGGGAACTAGCAGCGGCGAAACCTAAATCAGCACATGAGGCACCTGGGAAGATGTTGGCGATGGTGGGGGGACCACCGGCGGTTGGGGAATCTCCGGCGAAAGCTGGAGCGCTTGGCGAGGAGAACAAAGGGGGGAAGCGGAAGCAACAGAAGAAACCGAACCTCCTATGTTCTCCTCGGGCGCCCTCTACGCCTCCATACACCTGCGCTATCTCCACTTGACGCCCAGCCATACCGCGACCCTTAGGACACCATCGACAGGGTCAATGAGCCCTCGACCCTACGTCGCACAGTTTATGGACCTGATCCCGAGCCACGCGAGCCTACCCTTGTCCCTGGAACAATCATTGGGACTAACATTCCCCTCTCCATGATTCCCGACAGAGAATTTCTCATGCTAATCCTAACAACGGCGAACGAAGAAGCAGTAGAAGAAGAAGCGCTGGCGGAACCTACTCCAGTACCTAAAGAAGATCCGAAGCGGTACGCGCTCGCTACATGCGCACTTCCGGACTCCGCGCAAACGATGATATGTGGCATCAGCGCCTCGGTCACCCCTCGTGCGTAACACTGAACAGCTGC